TTGAAATGTAACGTAAAATGATATTTGGCCGCACCCTTCTTCTTCTTCTTCTCCTTCTTCTGCCTGGACAGAGAACTGAAAAGGGAGAAGATATGGGAAGCTAAAGGGAAGTAGAATTGATCCTAGGCTGAAGCATAACTGAAATTGGAATTGATGGGCTCACAGGGATGAACAGAAAGTAGCTTTCTTCACAAACATGTCAATGGGGGCAAAGATAAATTGGAGAATATGTTTGATGCCCTGAAGAAGATGGGACCTCACCACATTGTTTTGTTGTGCAGTTCTGGCTGGGCCTTCTGTTTTCTTAGTTTTGGAAAAATTGCACTCTTTGTATTTGATTCGAATATTATCAATATGTTTCATAGAGACTAATAGAGCAGGCTCACATTTATTACAAGAAAAAAGAAGTCACTACTGTATATATCATAATTGTTTATAATTTTTTTTAGTACAACATCTTGGAGAGAAGATTCGAACTCACTCGTTTTGACCAAACTGTTTCTAACTTAAGAAACAAACAGTTAAAATTGATTCGAACTCACAATCTCTTTGTTTGAGGTATATGCTCGCTTTGACCAAAATGTTTCTAACTTAAGAAACAGACAGTTAAAATTGAGATAAAAGAAAATCAGTATAATACTCATTTTAAAGTTTAAATTGCAAATTGAGCGATTCGACTTTGATGCTAGCGTCTATTTAGTCCATAAATATTATAATTATATCTATAACCCCATTGTAATAAGTATTTTTTTTTTGTTACATTAAATCGTTATTTAGATATTGACAGGATTTGTTGATTAGATTGATTAACGACGATGTAACGAAATGTTCCGCTCTAATACCATTTGTAATGCCCATATTCAAGATTCGGAATCTGGATTCGGCACCTAATTGTCCTAACATTTTCCTGCATCCCTACGATTTGGATGCACCACCATCTTTATTTGAGCTATTTAGAAGAGTAAAAACTGTGTATACAAACCAACACGACCCAATATTGCTCAAAACCAAACATGATTAACTTTGAAATTCTTATGATTGAACGATGAAAAATGGAAGTACATTTTGTTGGTATAGGCAGTGACTATCAATTCTTTTAATCATCTCTTAATCATGCCTCTATGATCTTATGATATCTCTCATTCACGTGGTATTGGTTCATTCACGTACCCATTCATCTTTACTCGGGCGTCATAGATGACCTAACATGACTTGGTAACAAAGAACAGGAGAGAGTAAATTGCACTAAATAAAAATCTCGTGAGTCAAATAAGATAGTTTAAAATGTATTGTGCTCATTTGCTGTATCGAGTTTTTTTATTGTCTTGTCTTTAATATTTTTAATTAGGTCATATCAAATTATCACCTGTGTCATATTATGCTAATATAAGCTTAACTCAATGATTAAGACATTATGCTCCTCTTTAAATTAAGGGTTCAAACTTCACCCCTACATTTATCGTATTGAAACAACACATCATAGGAGTGATTTCTAAGTCATATTTTAGTAATGAATGAGTTGATATTTATGTGCCATCTAGCATATGAGTATCGTGTTCACATGTAAATATGTTAATAAAATAGTAATTTAATGGTATATAAATTTTTTGTCAGCAAACTTTAACGATTTTTTAAAAGTCTATTTAGCTAGAGGAAAATAGACAAGTTTGAGGTAGGGATGTTAGCCACAGAAATACTTGACCTCGCATTCCAACTATGAAGTTACTCATTCAGCTTATGCAAGAGATTTGATCTAGGATGTGTAATGGCGAGGATGACAACAAAATATGACTTGAAACAATAGTGTTGGACGAAAGAAGTTACTAAAGTTGTAAATAATACTAGTTGAAAATCTGGGACGAACACGATGTTCCTGATCATTGGGGAGTAAAACTCTTATTCTCAATTATAATAATTATTATTATTCTTTTTAATGGAAATATTTATTTGAGAATTTTTAATCTATCATAGATAAAATTGAAAATTAAGAATGTTAAAAGACAGAGGACAACAAAATTAAGAATTAACAAACTTGATGTATTTTTTAGCCTTTTTTTCTCTTCTTCTTCTTCCTC